CACACACACACACACACACACACACACACACACACACACACACACACTCACATTATTACATGCAACCACTGAAGTCAGTATTAACCAATACAGAAATCATTAAACAGTGTGTTTCATAAAAGCTTTAAGACAGTAGAAGACATAAAAGCTTTGACTGTACTTCATGGTCCAGCTATTTCTGAAGACAATTTATATACAAAAAGAACAAAAATGCTTAGTAAGTGTCTACGCCCATGTACACTGTAAATCTTGAGAGGACGAGGGCACACGGGCATATCATAATGTTCACTCGCGTCTTTGTTTACAGTTCATCACAGCTTGTCCCATAATTCCAGATTTGTCCACATTGAGTGCAGATTCAAGGTTGGAGCAAGGGTGGAGTGATATGAAATCCTTGAGCTGCTCTAAGTGTGTCCGTATATTTTGGAACGGACCAGGCTAAGTCTTTCCCGAGCGCTCTCTAATTTCCCATGAGTACTTGTCCATTAACAAGATGCCAATTACGCCATTTTTAACTCCAGTCATGTCTTTAATTTGAGCGCTGAGCCAATGCTGGGCCTGTGATTCAGAGCTGCGCCCTATGCAGACAGATGAAAGATTATTTTTTTAAAGACTTAAATAAAGAGTGAGCACACCCTTTTGTGGTGGGTTTTTCAGAAACCTTTTTATTCAGGTAGTCATATAGTTTGTCCAATCCTGCTTTGCACATGGCATTTTTAAGGATCTTTGAGTGGGAAAAGCTTTTGTTTTGGTTTGCGTTCCTGTTTCTCCACAGTCCATTCCTGTGGTGAAGGATGTACCAACTCTACTTTCTGCCATCTGACGTGGGACAATAACAGCTTTCTACAATGTTTGAAACATTTGCGTTTACATGGCGGAACACATGATACATTTTTGCTTGTTTTCATGGCATCACTCTAAGTCTGGCACTCTGAATTTTGCAATGCAAACTATTTTTTAAATACTTTTTTAAAGTTAATATTAAAGTGTCAAATAAATCTATTTTTACAGGACAGTGAACAACAGCTTGACCCTTGTATTGTTTGATTCATCTCTCAGACACATAACTAGAGAGAATCTTTCAGTTATGGTTTGGACATCAGTTCGGCCTCATTCTATCTTCTTCGTTTTTGACACCTCAGTTACTTTCTTGCACGATTCAGTTTCTAAACTGAAAAGTACAAGTTAAGTGTGACACAAAGGTAAAAAAGCACAAGATCTCACCTTGATGGAGTAGACGAGAGCCATGAATCCCAGGCAGCAGAAGTTAACGTACAAGGTGTTGCACAGCGACCAGACTAAATAGTCCCGGGGAGGATTCTTGCCAGTGTTGTCCATGTTCACCACGGTGGATCCAGCCGGCTTACGGGCAGACTTACAGTTGGTGAGCGGGGTGCAGTCTGAGGGGAAGTTGTACGAGTGGTTGTCCATGCTTAACGTTTAGACAGAAGATCCTCGGCTGTGGGTGAATAGGTGGGTTTGCCAGCTGACCAGTCTTCCAGAAGCCTGTGCACTGTCCCTCTTTGGAAAGTAGTCCCCCCCCCCCTTCCTTTATGAGAGGCTTATAAAGGCCCATGAAGAGGGAGGTGACCGGGAGAGGACGCATGGGCAGGGTCCTTTAATATACAGCAGGTCTGTCATTATGTGGTCAGGCCTGGGAGAGACTGAAATAGAGATACAGGGACACAGAAAGCGGTATGAGAGAGGAGACAGAAAAAGAGACAGCGAACAGAGACATGGGAGCAGTGCAAAGTCTCTTCCACCAAAGTACCCACCACCTCAGCTTTCTTAAAGATCCTAGTGGTGGGGGTCAGGTGGTTGAGTTGGGCGGAGGTAGCAGAGCACAATGGGGGCAGAGTAGTGCAGTTCCAAGGCCTTGAAGGTGTTGAGGAGAAGTTTATCTGAAGATCTGTCAGCCAGAGGCCTTGACAGACAAGTCTGCGATGTGCATGGTCTCTCGGGGAGCTAACTGGCAGCAAAAAGGTCACATTTTACACATAACTCCATTAGGTTTTTATGTCCACAGTTACAAGATCTAAAATGAAAGTTGCCTCCACATTGAGACATACGTGTTCCTCATCGAGTTGACTTGTACTTAATTAATTAATTTATTAGTATGTTCGCATTTGGAAAGAAAGAAAGTAATATGTGAATCAAAACCAAAAAGAAGCTAGCAGAGGATGGTTTCGATCCATCGACCTCTGGGTTATGGGCCCAGCACGCTTCCGCTGCGCCACTCTGCTCCTTGGAATTAAATGACAGACAGGGATATAATATAGTGACCAACGCGATATTTTTCGTTACTTGAACTCTTTTATTGTTCTGCATGATCAGGAGTTGTTTTTGAAAATCTATATTTATACGAATATGACGTATACATGACGTTATATATGAGCCTCCTAAGTGCATGTTCAAGTCACCAGCGACAAAAATAAGATTAGGAGAAATAACCAATATAGGCAACAAATTGAGTTGTTGTGTGAGAACCAAAGACTGTGAGAACCAGTGAACAGATAAGCAACCGCTTGCTAAGTAGCTTCACAAATTCACCTTCGTTTTATTTGTTAACTTGCGTATTTGGTCCTGTGTTGATTATTGTCATAGACGTGTTGTTGACATCCGGGCTACCGTAGGGCTAGACGTAAATGGGCGGGCCTTAGCACTTCCTACTTCCGTGTTTTCAAATAGTCGGCTTATGTTATCTGCACCGAGGAGCCCTCTGTATGCTGCTTTTTAAGGCTTTTCCTCTCTGATCCCGGGTGACTGACATGTGCAATCATCTGGTAGGGTGATCATTTTAGCTTTTAAGCTCAGTCATGAATGCGATGTGTTTTACCCTCTTGTTTGATACCGCCCCGCTAGCGGGCCCGCCTCCACGTGACAAGCAGTATGGATAGTGCGCAATATTAGTGGTAAATGGGAACGTTATGTTTGTTCATATAATGCATTTGTTTGGCAGTGTCTCTATTCTGCATCTCATCATCAGAGTCGAGTTTGCGTTACTGCAAACAAACCAAGAACGGTAAATGTCAGTCGGGTGTATCAGAATGAAGTGAGCAGACCTGTCCAACTACACCTTTCCACTTCCAGGTGCAGGGCGAAACCAAACCAGTGATGATTCCAGTTACTGACAGTGAATCAGTCTGTACTCCATGCTCAAAGGCTTTATTTATCTCTTGATGGTAAAGAACCCTCAAAGAAATACTCCGGCTCCTCTACTTTGAAATACCACAAATGGTTCTGATGAGGTATGTTTATAAATGGTATGTAATTAGTATTTAAGAAATCTACTTCCCAAACTAAATATGTGTTTTGCAGTTGTTCTTGTATGAACAATATACTCCTCTCAGATATACATGTATAAAAAATGTGTATAAATTTTATTTTTTTTAATTTATTTTTTTTGTTCTACATTTGTTACTTTGAATAAAATAAATTATGCAAAGTTAAAAAAAAGCGCTGCCCTAACAACATATGTATTATTATTATTATTATTATTATTATATTACTTTATTATTATTATTATTTTCATTACAGTTCTAGCACCATTATTCTGTCAGTTTAAATGTAACCCTGTAATTTGGTGCAGTTTTTGGAGAAAATGTGTAATAGTCAGTGTTTTATCTTCAACAAACAATTTTATTTAAATTTTCTATGAAATTAAAAATGGAATTAAATTACAGTTATGAGAAATATGTAGAATTGGCAGGTCATACTTTCAAGTAATCGACTTGGCTAACAAAGTTGTTCTGGCTGTTTATTTGTCTTTTGTTTGATTGAACTAGTTTTCCCAGGTGTGAAACGTAAACATGTTGTTTCATGTTGGTGATTTGACACTGAAAAGAGTCTAAGATCCTCCCTCATGTTTCACCTGCAGTGCTGTTAGACTGGACAGCTTATTGTGGATCACTTTTCTGTATTTCCCCTCAACACACACACACACACACACACACACACGTACCATGTTTATATGAATTATCTTCTCTGTGTGTAAGGAGATATAAACTATGGTGACATTTTTTGAAGTAACGATGTCCTGTGGAGTTTTCTTGTTAATAAACTTAAGTTGTCTTAACATTCATCAGAAGGCGTTGTGTAAGGTGTAACACGTGATGTAAAACATTTGCCATGTTTTCCTGATATTTATTTAAGGTCATCGTACTTCTCACATCTTAATTATCTTGAAATCGTATCATTGTATTTTAGCATGCATGTGTATTGTTATCTTTTTTCAGAACCATTGCTAAAACAAATGCCTTACAGACAGGAAGTCACAATCTAATAACAGTCCGGCATAGATGTGAACTACAGATTGTCACTAAAGAAACATGGCTGAGTTTAAGGCTTTTGTAACACAAATAGCAAAAGTATCTGTTTTGCGTACAACAGGTTACAAATTGCGCCGTAAGTGTAAAGCACAGAACCACAAGAGCCACTAAGCCACAGCAGCAGGCAACTCTGAACACCATTTGAAATTTAGCCACCGTAAGGGAAATTGTTTCTCCCGTAATCCCTGAAATGGCTGACCATCTGATTAATTTTTACGACCATGAAGATAAAAGCACTGATGAAAATAAGGCTGAGGAGGCAACTCAGGACTGTGGCCCAGATGTTGAGGCAGCGGGCAGTGGAGCTGTAGTGTCGGGCACCAGACATGTCTCCAGCCATCTTCCGGTCTCTGGCCTGGAAGGACCAAAGCACATGGATTTTAGAAGTGGATTCATAGTAATGCTCGACCTCAAGGGGCCGTAAACCTGATGAGGTTTGCTGTACTTCTACTTTGGAAATTAAATTTTCTCCCATTTCCTATATATAGTTTTCCTTACATAAGTGTTCTGATTCTTCGTATTTAAGAATGTCCAGCAAAGTTTACAACACATTTAAAGTTGTCTTTGTTCCTTTATCTCATTTTTCTTATTTTTCCTTATTTGTAATTTTTTGTTTCAACATTTAAACTTTCGTCTTCAAGCCTAGTGATTTCTATAATCTTAGAGATGAACATTGTCTCCTAACTGCCCGTGCTCTGCATGATTCTTGTCATGGTCTAAGTGAGGGCTGTGTTTTGTCTGTAAAAATATGGTGAAATGTTTATTTTCCACAAACCCATCTCTCCTTTGTTTAAAAGAAGTGCTGCTTGAAATTGAAAAACTATTTTTTTTTTTCAATATTCTTTGACAGGCAATAGTAGAAGATTCCCCATGAATGAAAGTCACCTTGATAGAGAAGATGAGAGCCGCCAGTCCGAGGCAGAAGGGATTCCAGTGGACAAAGTTGAAGATTGACCAGATGACATGGTCCCTGGGGGCCTCCGAGGCGATGTTCACAGTGGTGTACTGAACCATAGGTCCTCTAGGCTGTCCAGGGTATCTAGGCTGTCCAGGGTATCTAGGCTGTCCAGGGTATCTAGGCTGTCCAGGGTATCCAGGCGGTCCAGGGTATCCAGGCAGTCCAGGGTACCCATCATTGCTCCCCTGCAATGGAACATTCTCAGTCGGGTAACTCACAGGATTCATGCTGTCAGCTCACCTGCAGTTTGGAGTGTGGGTTGCAGGAAGGTGGATAAGAACTCAACTCCTCCTGAAGTTGCGCAAGAACTCAACTCAACCTGAAGTTACACAAGAACTCAACTCAACCTGAAGTTACATAAGAACTCAACTCAACCTGAAGTTACACAAGAACTCAACTGTCAACGTAAATATCGGTTTCTTCTTCCCACCAAATGTCCAATAAAACACCAGGGTTGGCTGTGGTTATGGCAAAGAACATACAATACAAGCCTTTTGGCTTCTTAAAAAAAA